GAAACAACACAAAGTTCTTCAACATGGAATGCAATAGAAATGTAGCAACAGTCATTTCCCCAGATAATTCTTTCATATTGGGCTCTGCGCTTTGCAAGGCTGCGGGACACAGGACAGATAGGCTATTCATTCCTACAACTTGTTAATTAGTTCCTACGACTTATTAATTTGTGGCCACTGTCCATGTTTCATTAATTTTGTTCCTTAACCCATGATTTAACTAAAATGAGGGAACAAATTAATACATCGAACGAATTCTTAATTCATGGCCATGAAATATTTCATTTCCCTTCCGCATGTTTACCACAGTAAGAGATGCGAAAACAGCGATAAAAAGTTAATGACAATAAAATAAACCTGCGAAATTAGAGGGTTAGACGGTGAGGATTTAGGAAAAGAAACTATGCCTAAATATTATTGAATTTGTGGAAATTCGTGACCAAGAACAAAGTCGCATAAATGTAGGCTATATGGGCTCAAACGGTATCCAAAAGCATGGTCGCGATGTAAGATTTTCCAGCTAACCAAATATTCCTCTAATAAACAAAGCTTTTATACCACACTTGCCATAATCAGAGCTGACTTAAATAATTAAGCTAACAGATTTAAAACAGAAGTGTGGCGCGGCATTCCATAAACAAGTTCACGGAAAGGAATGGATGACAACGCACACTCTGTATGTTTGCTTTATTTTGCAAAAGCACAAATCTCGTTTTTATTGCGAGTGTGCAAAAATAAAAGTAAACACTTTTGCGGATTATATCTTACTCCAAAAATGGAGTTTTTTATGTTTCAGCTGTTCGATCGCACCGGCACCTCGCACGCACACACCCCACAAATTCTAGCAATTCAAACTTACATCGCAGTCTGTTCATTATCAAAATAAAATACAGTCAACCAAACATATAAAAGGTTACACTGGTCAGTTTAAATAGACCGTAGTATAGCGGTGCACTCTACTGTTATGCCAAGGACTTTTTTGCTCATGTGAAGAGGATGATCTTTTCCGTCTATATGCGAATGCGTGTAAAGTACAAGCCTAGTTTACATTATAAATAATAGTTTAACATTCAAATACATTGCGAATACGGAAACATTTGGATTTGTGCCAAATGAGACGCGAGTAATAACCTCCAAATACATCTATCCAAACCCGCGCTCGCTCCGTCTCGTATGCACGCACGCATGCACTGTCACGATCTAATGCACTGTAAATGCCGGATTTTTTAAAACAAACAGGCCTACCGGAATGCAAAAATGTCAAATCTGACATTTTCCGGAACAGGATCAAATGAAG